GTGAAAATGAGGCTAACCACCTTTTGAGAGGGTGAAATGAGGCAGCAAGTATACTTTTGTGTATATTTTCGAGCATATTCGGTATTGTGACTATCTAATGTGTCAACAATAAAGATTGATTCATCCTCTCAAATTTATAACATATCAATATGTTATAAATTTGTTGATTCTGTGAAATGTGCTAAAAATGTAATTTCTTATTTCAGTGACAATATAATAATTGTGTGACAATATAACAATTGTCTGTAATTTCTTATTTCAGTGACAATATCTTGTTTCATTGATAGTAGTTTCATACAGGGTAATTTGGTAATCTAGCTAGGCACACTTGGGGCACACTTGGGGCAAATACAGTTGGGGCACACTTGGGGCACAGTCGAGGCAAAAAAATTACTTGAAGCAGTTTAAGTAAACTAAACACATTTGTGTGCCCCAGGAAATTCAATTGTGTGCCCCAAGTGTGCCCCAAGTGTGCCTAGCTAGATTACCAAACAGGACATAATATTGATAATCTGTTGATCGTAGAAATGCCCTTATTTAAGAGGTAAAAATAATTAAAAGTATTCCCATCTGAGTTGTTTCTGGGCACTGTCCTAGATAGTGTTTCTTAATAGTAATACTTAATAGTTAATAGTACTATGTTTACAGTATAAGTATGCACTGAAGTAGTATCCTATGAAAATTCTTGAACTTATGAGTTTCCTATCATTCGGCTGAGTCAACTGAGGAGATCGCATAGATCCAATGGATCCTTAGCTACTCCATAGACTAGGAGACACTGGGATTCGAACCCTGAACCTTCTGCACAGAAGGCGGATGCTCTAACCACTAGGCCACCTAGCCCCTTTCTTTGTTGAATGATCACTTTTAGTTCATATGCTGTAAACTTATTGATTTAATGATTGGCAATATTTGAATTTCAAATAGCATATTTTGATTTTGACAATTGTGCTTTGATTTAATATAAATAGGCAAGTATTATGGGATGACATAGCATAAGATTGTAGACATGCAAATGAGGCATTGATTTTGACAGTTGTGCTTTGATTTAATACAAATAGGCAATTATTATGGGATGACATAGCATAAGAAATTGTAGACATGCAAATCTGCCGTTTTCTGACAAAAGTGCTTAAGTAACACAAGGTTCATTTTGTGCAAATTAACTTTAAAGATTTCAATTCTGTAATTGCTCTGGGCTAGCTACTGTCCAATTTAAACTGCATCCACTATGTTTCTAAGGTACTTTGTCGACTTTTGAGACTTATGACAAGGTTTCATCATCCTAACTTCTCGGAAAGTGCCTCAAAATCACAAATTATAGTTTGAATTTCTTAGAAAAGTGCTTAAGTACAGTCACATCGGCAAATACTACATGTTCTGATGAAAATGACCCGTTCAAACCATTGGTCATCGAAAGTAAAACGAAAAATTAGCCTAAAACTGTTGTGATGAAACATTGGTTGTAAATAGGGGACACGCTGAAATAGAAAATTTGAAATTTCTTTTTCTGAGAAAAGTGCATAAGTACAGCCACATCAGCAAAAGCTCCATGTTCTGATGAAAATGACCCGTTCAAACCATTGGTCATCGAAAGTAAAACGAAAAATGAGCCTTAAACTGTTGTGATGAAACATTGGTTGTAAAAAGGGGACACGCTGAAATTGAAAATTTGAAAATTTCGTTTTCTGAGAAAAGTGCTTAAGTACAGCCACATTAGTGGGAACTTTATCTGCAATCAATCTGACCTAAAATTTTACGACAAATTGATTGGTGGTGGTTTAAGAACACGAAAACACTCCCTTCTCCCCAGCGGATTAAAAAATAGTCGGAATTCTACCAGCATTTCAACGAAGAGTTGATTGGTGAAAGTACAGGGTTATAACAATAAATAAGTTTCTTTCTTTAGAAATTAAATTAAGAACTCAGATGAGGCTTTCTTCATAAAGACCAATTATTTGTGAATCATTGATATCGTAACGCAAGGCAAAGAAAAACAAGCGTACAAAATTGTAACATAATTGTAAATAATACTGTACATAAATAAATGGTAAATAATACAAGAAATAGATGATTTTTAGTCAAACACTCGATTAAGATCTGTTATATCTGTACTATCAGGCAAGTTCATCCAGAATACCCTACTACTCGGGGCCATAAGCCTGCACAGTTTACGTATAATGTCTTGTTTTTTGGGAGTAGCTATCCCCCGGGGCTCTTCCTGGGCGAAAGCTATTTTGCAACCTATGGAAATGAGTCTCTCGTCTTTTTGTCTGAGAAATGGAGTGAAATGAAAGGAAACCTCGTCATGATTTGTTTTCCATTCCATTTCTACAGACCCACGCTGGAAACTTACAACTTAAACATCTTTTAGTTTTAAGAGAGGTCTCTCAGTTTTACAACGGTTGCTTGTTCCGTAGGACCTTGGCTACGATTCAAAGTCTGTGCAGTTCATGCTTATCGCAGCTGTACCCACCTGTTCATTGTTCAACTGCCTGAACAAAGTCCTTATAATCATGAAGTTGACCTGATTGTTTAATGGACAACTCCACTTTATGGTGGAATGAGTCTGCACTCATAAAGGTGTGCCCTGGCTCTAGATACTTGACCGTTATCTTGTCCAGGTCAACATCTGGGCTGTTGATAATTGAACATAGGGCAGTAAATAAAGTCCAACACTTGTTTTGAGCAGAACAATTGTCTGCCCAAAAAATGATCTCCCTGCTACCACCAATCTTGCCTGCGGCAAAATGTTTTATTGCCCTTATCCAACTCGAGGACACATTCTCATCTTTCCTTCCTGCGATTGACGCATTCCAAAGAATCGCTAAAGGAGCTCCGTCTGACCCCAGCCTCGCGAAGGTCTCGTTAAATGTGACAAGGCGTCTTGTAAAAATCGCCTCCTTGTACTCCGGCATGTGTGGTAGTTAAAGAACTTTCTCCATATCAACAGAGAAGGATCAGTGAGGCAAATCGTTTCTATCTCTTTGGTAATGTTCCCTTGCCTGTCGATAATCCCGCCAGTCTCAACTTATAAGAGAATAAAAAATTGTAAAGCAAATTATGACGTATATTTTGAAACGTTCTGCATTGACAAATCGGCAATTTTGACGGTGAAGCTAGAGTTTCTGAAGTTTATGACCATCACCAATCGATCCGCCGTGAAAATTTAGATTTGTTAGTACCGATTATATAGTTTCAGTTGGCAGAATCAACATTTAATTAAACGTATAATGGCACTTAAGCACTTTTGTGAGAAAACGAGCCCGTTTTCACAAAAGTGCTTAAGTGACATAAATTGTTTTTTCCCAGGCCAAAAGACCCACGATCACCAAATTGCCGTCACTAGGCCAGTTTTGGACGTAGAAAACAATGCCACCGTTTTCAGTTCCCGAAATGGCACCATTTTTGAAATAAACGGCACCCGTTTTCCAAAATGTTACTTAAGCACTTTTCTCAGAAAAATGACCACTTTTTGCATTTTAGGGGGTTCCAAAAAGCGGGTTTTGGGGGGTCGGCGAATGTATCCAATGGTCCTCAGGGATAGTTCTTGACCCAAAAACAAAAGTTAGACCAAAAAACCCGAAATTTCCAAAATGTTACTTAAGCACTTTTGTCAGAAAACGGCAGAAATGAGACAGTTCTGAAAACCAGGTTGATACTTTGCTTTTAAAGTTTTGCTTTTATTTTAAAGGGTTAATTAAAGCCGCCAGCTGATGCAGGGCACAGGCCTTTTATGGTTCTGTTCATATAATACTGTTTTAATTTATTGCAAAAACTCAAAGGTCAAGATTGAGTTTTTAATATCAGAAAACCAGAAACTGTCTTTAGGGAAAATTATGATAATGTTGTTCGACACATGTTACTTAATATCAATATAAGTCTTATAATTAGAATAAGTGACCATCACAGCAAATATGCATTTAATTCCTAACCTCTTCGGTGTATTTGACACATTCACTTTAATTTAAAAGTCTTGAAGAGTGCACGCTATATTGATATGATGTGAAATTGCTTTATAGTATTAGTTTAGCCATTTAAAAAATCTATTTGGAACCTCAAACTAACTATTTTATTCGTTAGAATGCTCACATTTATGCTGATTTCAATTTTATCACTGTATATTGACATATACACAGAATATCAGGATGCACTCTATTTCGCCATGATATGGTCCCAAAATTATCACTGTACTTTCGTTAATACACACTTTATTCTTTAAGATCAGTGTCGCGCTGACGGAGGGAGGGACATAAATACGAACTTGATGAGCTATGTCATACAATTATTCATGTAGAACCTTTGTATTACGGATATGGACATATTAGGAATTAAGTATGGTTAAAAGTTCCGAATTTTCATAAAATATGTTAAACGATTCTTTGAACATTTCCCTTGGTTATACAATGCACCCCAGCGCTTTGTCTTTGTTTAGCTTGTCTGAAATCACAATGCAAAACGTCGTATTCACGATGGAAGCCACAAAGTTCCGATTTTTAGCTGTTAATTTTGCCAAACATCTTATTTATAGGGCCGTTTAGTTAAGATAAGCAGCCAAAGTCTTTACCTTATTATCAAAACTCGTTTATATAACGCTAGTTATCGTTTTAAATGTGATCGCAAGCAATAATTCTTTTGCCTCCTGTGACCTAATCACACATTCCAAATATTGTAAACTTTACTGTTAAGCTTTAATGCTGAAATTCACTCTATTTTTCATCGAATCAAGAATAAATTATATATTTTTGATATCATATCATTTTAAACTTATTACAACACTACAAATCTATTACATTTATTGAGAATTATGTAACGTGATGGAAATATTTTAAACGGGTCATATCTTGTCCAAACCCAGGATAAATAATACGAAGAATTTGTTGTAACTTTGTATGAAAAGCATTGATATGTCATTTGTATAATATACAACATTTATTTTTAAGTTATCAGCGAGAAAGCCAAATATAATATGTTTCATTTGCTGAATACCAATAACACAGAATGGAGTCTTCAATGAAAATGGAGCACTCTTGGTGATGTCTGCCTCCATTCTTAACATTGGTGATGTGTGCTCACTGTATGCCGAGGGACAAGTGTCCGGATTTATAAGCACACTCGGGTAAGTTTGAATATCTTAATATTATTACTTCTGTCAATAAATTGTTAATGTCAGTCTCTAAAATATTTACTGGAGAATTTGTTTTTTCAAGGATTCTCCATTTATACGGGGTTTTAAGATGAATTGTTAACAGTACAGTGGATAATATATCATTAAAAAAACTGTGTTGTTCTTGGGTAATAACGAGTTAATTTTCCAGCGATTATGTCCGACTGTCAAGGAAAGAGTAGTTTAGTTCCGTAAAATAATTTCATTAAAAACCTTTCACAGATTGGTACAATTTATACCATATTAGATTTCTCATTATCACGAGGCAGGAGGCAGGAGCTAATATCATAAAGACATTTCAGGAGAGGAAGAAATATCGAAAAAACGACCGTATCTTTTTTCAAATTGTGGTTGAAAGCATCCGCTCGTAACAGTATTAGACCCTTCTTTCTTCATACTTAACACACGTGGCTATTGTGTAGAAGTTACACCAACATTATCTTTTTCAAACCGCCTCCCCTAGGCTAGCTTACGTAGTATGTGAGATATTCCCCAATGAACGTTCCCTTCGTTGATCATCAAAAAAGCACATCGTTAATATAAACTTGCTGCTTTTTACTGAATATTATTTAGCCATTAGTTTACTGGGCACGCTACTAATTTCTAGCACATCTAAGGATTGGGAACCAGCTTTGTTTACTGGTTAATGTTTACTCAAGAATTTATACATACAATAATATATACAATAATTATATACCTAAATCCGCTAATAAGATTTCATTAATTATTGAATACAGGCGCTGCTTAGATAAATGCAATGCCTAGCAACCAAGGTATTCTTGTAATTTAACTGCATACCTTATGCTTATTACTCTAACCGAAGTATACTAATAGCACTGGACTCATTCGTTTATTGTCAGCTCATTCTAAATTTAATAATAATATTCCAGTATAATAGTAACATTTTAGTTCTGTACCTAAATACCGGGGTATAGTTCACTCCGAAAATACCTGAAAAGCTAAATGTCCTCTACATAATCCAGTTGTCAACCCCTGCCTAATATGTAGCCAAAAAAATACCTGTTTAATCGTCTAAGGCAGCACCTTTTATGGGAAGACTTATATAATTTGAATAAAAGTCATTATTATTCATTCGCCCAAATATTACTCATTTGCCCAAATTCTAGCGATTGTCAAAGCACTCAACAATTTAGTAGTCAAGAAGTTCCAGATGTTGTTGAATCTTATCTAACACCTTTTATGGTAGTTTAGTTCCGTAAAATAATTTCATTAAAAACCTTTCACAGATTGGTACAATTTATACCATATTAGATTTCTCATTATCACGAGGCAGGAGGCAGGAGCTAATATCATAAAGACATTTCAGGAGAGGAAGAAATATCGAAAAAACGACCGTATCTTTTTTCAAATTGTGGTTGAAAGCATCCGCTCGTAACAGTATTAGACCCTTCTTTCTTCATACTTAACACACGTGGCTATTGTGTAGAAGTTACACCAACATTATCTTTTTCAAACCGCCTCCCCTAGGCTAGCTTACGTAGTATGTGAGATATTCCCCAATGAACGTTCCCTTCGTTGATCATCAAAAAAGCACATCGTTAATATAAACTTGCTGCTTTTTACTGAATATTATTTAGCCATTAGTTTACTGGGCACGCTACTAATTTCTAGCACATCTAAGGATTGGGAACCAGCTTTGTTTACTGGTTAATGTTTACTCAAGAATTTATACATACAATAATATATACAATAATTATATACCTAAATCCGCTAATAAGATTTCATTAATTATTGAATACAGGCGCTGCTTAGATAAATGCAATGCCTAGCAACCAAGGTATTCTTGTAATTTAACTGCATACCTTATGCTTATTACTCTAACCGAAGTATACTAATAGCACTGGACTCATTCGTTTATTGTCAGCTCATTCTAAATTTAATAATAATATTCCAGTATAATAGTAACATTTTAGTTCTGTACCTAAATACCGGGGTATAGTTCACTCCGAAAATACCTGAAAAGCTAAATGTCCTCTACATAATCCAGTTGTCAACCCCTGCCTAATATGTAGCCAAAAAAATACCTGTTTAATCGTCTAAGGCAGCACCTTTTATGGGAAGACTTATATAATTTGAATAAAAGTCATTATTATTCATTCGCCCAAATATTACTCATTTGCCCAAATTCTAGCGATTGTCAAAGCACTCAACAATTTAGTAGTCAAGAAGTTCCAGATGTTGTTGAATCTTATCTAACAGCAAACTAAAGACTGCCTCCAGTGTAAATACCTCTGTTACACTGCTGTGCAAGAGCCCTGGAGCTAAATAATCTGATTATAATAGGTGAACTGCATCTACCTTGGCTTGCTTAATGCTTATAGAAGGAGCCGGAAGATAAAAACCTGGCATTTCGTGCAGTTTTTCGTGCAGTTTTTCGTGCAGTTTGCAGCTTTTACAAACTGCTCTTCCATCAGATGACAGATGCAGTTATATTCCTACATCTCAATTTTACATCTTGAGCTATCTTAAGATTTAAGTGCCTGCTCAATTATTTATTAATCTGATTTAACTTTTTTAGCATTTCATGGTACTAGCGAAACATTTCATAATGTTTATAATGTTGCTTTGAATACCTTACAACAAATAAAACACGCGAGATTAAAATCATGCGATTGTGAATTTAAAATGCGATTGTGAATTTAAAATGCCTAATCATGTAAAAATCACTCATCTCCAATTCGTCCGAACTTTAAAAACTATGTTGAAATAGTTGGGGTCATCGACCAAACTTAAAACCAGGACTGTCAGTAAAACTCAGGAGTATGGAAGCCCAAATAATGGGGCAACTTTTCCTGTCTATACTAAACTTCAACGGGACTGGTCAGCAGTCATTAGGGAAAAGAAATATCCACTGACAATCCCAGAGACCCCCTCTACAAAATAGAGGTTTTAAAATTGACCAAGAAAACTCTAAAGATCACCGTCGTGTGTGCCTATGAAGAGGCCCTCCAGCAGTCTAGATTGCTCCACAATGGCCTTGTACAGCACGTTGTAGTCACTGAAATCCACTTCCATACACGAGGGATCCTTGTAGTCACCATCCAGCACACAGATGTCAGGATTCTCCATGATCTCTGATTTGGTCTGCATGATACCGTTGATGGGGTATGTGAATTCCTCCTTGTTGAACTTGTTGCCTTTCACAATTCCGAAACAGTATATAATCTTCGATGTCCTCATTATTTCTGAAAGTTTTGTCTGGTTAAGTTTTATTGTGGCTGATAAAAGTTAGATTGGAGATTAAAGGTGTTCATGAGGTTGTTACAGGTGATGGCGAGGTTCAGTTACAGGTGTTACTAATATTGTACTAACCTACTCCAAGACGGTGGTTATCATGTTCAGAGTTAACGTCTAAACACAGGCCTCTCTTGACGTCCGTCTTATCTATCACTGTCGTCTCCAGCTTCTTCGTGTAGTCCCAGCACGCTTTGATGGATCTGATAGGAGGTTCTGTTAAATGTGTGATCTGATGGGGTGTACTGTTAAATGTGTGATCTGATGGGGTGTACTGTTAAATGTGTGATCTGATGGGGTGTACTGTTAAATGTGTGATCTGATGGGGTGTACTGTTAAATGTGTGATCTGATGGGGTGTACTGTTTAAATGTGTGATCTGATGGGGTGTACTGTTAAATGTGTGATCTGATGGGATGTACTATTAAATGTGTGATCTGATGGGATGTACTGTTAAATGTGTGATCTGATGGGGTGTACTGTTAAATGTGTGATCTGATGGGGTGTACTGTTAAATGTGTGATCTGATGGGATGTACTGTTAAATGTGTGATCTGATGGGATGTACTGTTAAATGTGTGATCTGATTGGGTGTACTGTTAAATGTGTGATCTGATGGGATATACTGTTAAATGTGTGATCTGATGGGATGTACTGTTAAATGTGTGATCTGATGGGATGTACTGTTAAATGTGTGATCTGATGGGGTGTACTGTTAAATGTGTGATCTGATGGGGTGTACTGTTAAATGTGTGATCTGATGGGATGTACTGTTAAATGTGTGATCTGATGGGGTGATCCAGGGGTGTAGGAAGCGGGGGGCAGGGGGGGCCATCGCCCCCCCATGAAATCTGGGCAAGGGGCCAAAAAGGGCCAATTTTTTATTTAGGTTTCTAAAAATTTTTTTCCCCGAAAATTATTTAAGTCAAAAATTTTCTAAGTCAAAAATGTTCAAAGTTTTCTTGGAAACTGATTTTGTTCATTACATGTTTCATACTACTCTGATCATTATGAGCCAAAAATATTTTTTTCGGTTTTCGAAGTTCGATATACGATTTTTGACTCGAGGGTTCCCTTTTGTAATGCGATCTCGGAAGGCAGGCCTCCCCTTCGCAATACGAGCTCGGAAGCGGGAGCTCTGCTTTCAGAGGTACGTATCGAGAATGACTTGGACCGAAAATTTTCTAAGTCAAAAATTTTCAAAGTTTTCTTGGAAACTACTTTTGTTCATGTTTCATCCTACCTTGATCATTCATTATGAGACAAAAATATTTTTTTCGGTTTTCGAAGTTCGATATACGATTTTGGACTCGAGGGTTCCCTTTTGTAATGCGATCTCGGAAGGCAGGCCTCCCATTCGCAATACGAGCTCGGAAGTGGGAGCTCTGCTTTCAGAGGTACGTATCGAGAATGACTTGCACCGAAAATTTTCAAGTCCGAAAATTTTCAAGTCAAAAATTTTCAAAGTTTTCTTGGAAACTACTTTTGTTCATGTTTCATGCTACCCTGATCATTCTGAGGCGAAAATATATTTTTCGGTTTTTTGAAGTCCGCGCCGTGCCTACATTCGGAAGGTTGTGGATGTGATACTGATTGGTTTCATATACTAATTATAGAAAACGTGATATTTGGCCCACAGATTTAAAGGAAAATACGCGAATTTGGTCCTCAGATTTAAAGGAAAATGCGCAATTTGACGCGGAGAACTGAAAAAATCGCGATTTGTCGTGGGGCCAGGATCTGAAAAATCGCGATTTGTCGCGGCAAACGTGAAGAATCGCGATACCGCACATGCTGCAATTTCCTTTTGTCCTTACCCTCGAAATTCAGGCTTTGGCGCGAAGCGCCAAAAAATATTTAGAACTTGGCCCCCCCATGAAGAAAATCATTCCTACACCCCTGGGGTGATCTCAAAGGAAACTGGGTAGTGTGTGATCTGAGTGGATAAACTGATTCTTCACGATCATAGTGGACTGTAAAAAGCACACTTGGAGTTGCTCAATACTTTATAGTTAGGCAGCAAGATAGCGGTGCGTACCATACCGATTTAAAAAAAGTAAAAACTAAGATTATATCCGAATAAAATAAAACTCAATAATTACTTGTTGACTGGTCTAGGTGTGTCAGGACACTTGCTCGCCTTGCTGGCCTTGAAAGTAGACATCTGGGAAGAAGTGTGCAGGAGCAACACCAGACCTATGAGAAGGAAACAGTGCTTCATTCCGTTCATGTTGAGTATGGTGAGTTGCAGAGAGTGCGGGGTAACAGAGACTATCACTACAACAGGACTCTATCTGGGGACTCTATATGTCGGCAACTGACCTTACTGACCTAGTCCCCACTTTTATACTATCTCCCCCCACATGGGCGACTCTTTGAGCTCCTTTGTAGCTCCATCATCTGAGGTTCAAGGTGTCTTACCGTTACGGAATCATCACTTTACCTGCAACATCAAAGGCATATGATGCACCTAAGGTGCAGGGAGCTTGATCAATTTCTTCATTTGAGGTTGATCTGCATGATTTTAAAACCCATTATCACCAATATATAGAGGTCTACTTTCTAGTATCGGTTCGGTTACTAAATGGTGCTCAAAGAGTCTCTCCATTCAGAACGTATACATCTTGCTACCTTACTCATCAATAAACGTTTAAAATGAGGCATGACGTATAAAAACCATCTGGGGTAGGGCTGCTTTCACTTTGGTTCTGGGAAAGTTTCGATCAACCTTTGATTAACATTAAACGCTCTAAAGATTCAAATTTATAATCAAAGTAGGTATATCTTATAAGCCCCATTATGAAGTTACAGTTAAATTTAAAAGCATCAGGGAGGTATTTAAAATGCCGTATATGTAACACCGGGCACCCACGTAAGTCGTAAATAGGAGATAGCCATTAAGTTTGCTTGTCAGAATTTTAAGACTCGAGAATCAGAATTTAAGCATCAAGATTTTAAAATATTGTCACTGGATCGAGAATCAGAACTGTCCACTTTAATTAGAAGTCAACTGTTATTTAGAGCTTTTCAGATTCTAAGTCAATCTAACTATTATAATACAACATGGGTTAAAGGGCATGTATCCGACGGTTATAAGGCAATATTTGGTTAACTTTGTCACACTCAGAATATGATACCTCTTTTCTACTGTGAGATGTTCTCAAAACTATTTTCAATGGTGGATAGTTTAAATTTCAATGATCCTAATAAATTGGACTATTCATTTAAAGTAAGCGGTCTATGGGGTAAAAATAAAACCAGTGGTTAAAATAGGAGATCCAAAACGTATCAAGAGTAATACAGTAAGAAAATCCGTACCAAAGAAAGAGTCCCGACAGTCTCTCTGACTGCCTCTAAATACTACTATTAACGTGACACATATGCCGGTCACGTGATAAGATATTAAACTAATATCATCCAAATTGGTTACAATTAAACATGTCAATCTGTAGAGTAAACAAAAGAGGTGACAAATAAGCCTAATTAAGGAAATCGAGGTGGAAACAGTTTGCTAACCGTGTGTAATGAGGTTAGAACAAAAGGCCAATAAAAACATAGGAAGAAGAACTAGTAGTATAAAAAATAAAATGACGTGTACACTCGTGAAAGGAGAGTACAACACATTAAATGATATTGATGACGATGTCAACTACAGCTGTCCATGGCGTAACCTTATGGTCACGTTGGGACTCAGACGACAAATTAAAAAAAATAAGGATTCGAAAAACAGTATACCTCAATTTAATTAATTTATCCATCTGAAACTAGCAACTTATCCGTCCCGATCCGGAGGACCTTTGATTATGGAGTTTACCAGAAGTAAACTCGGCACTAATACCTTAGAAATGTTACCAACTGTAGTCATAGAAAAATATAATAGCGTTCAAAAATCACAAACATGACACGTATGAAAATGGTGAGTGGGGACTGTGGCAATTTGGTAATCTAGCTAGGCCCCCTTGGGGCACACTTGGGGCAAACCTGGGGCACAAAATTTAATTTCCGGTAACACGACATCTTTCCGAAAGCGACATCTGTCTGACAGCGACTCTTGTCCGACTCATGTTACCAGAAAAAACGCCAAAATTGTGATCTAATTTCAATACGACACATTTAGAGACATTATCTGAACTGTTACTAGGTTAGCAACTTTGTATACGTAACATTTCCAATTTGAGATATCATCTGAGTTGAACTAGTGAACTCTACCATAGTCTATTTTCGTTTGATGTCGATAAATTGGACAATAGTGATCCGAAATTACAAATGTGATCCGAAAGTCGGACAGATGTCGCCAAAAACGACTCCTGTCAGACAGTGATTCCTGTCCAAAACCGCTGTCGGACAGATGTCGCCCAAGTTGAGGCAGTAGAGGCAAAAAAAATGACTTGAAGCACAGTTTATATAAACTAAACACACTTGGGGCACACTTGGGGCAAAAAGGTAAACAATCTTCTAGTGTAATAATAAGTGACAAACAATGTATGCGTAATGTTTAATTTGATTAAAATTAACCTAATTCCTGAAAACCAATGCAACCAATACATTGATAAAATTATACATTCAACTATTCAGGATAATATTCTTCTCATCAGCTTAGGGATTTCGCTATTAAAGGCTCTTCTCACAGATGAGTCCGATCGGGTGAGGTTATGACGCTTTCTTCACATGAAATCACAGAGGGCTATCTCTAGGGCTTCAGAGTCTGCACGGGTCCTTCCATGGCCACGGAGCATGTGTTTCTTTGCGTGAAACCACATCCCTTCACATGTATTGGTGTGAACGCCAGTTAGGGGGTCAACGAAGCCTCTTGAATGGTTGACCACAAGATGTTCAAATCCATGCCGTGGAAGTGCACTGTAACCTTTCCGCTTGTCACTTGTCTTGAATGAAGATAGAATTAGGAACCGGAAAACCCACCTGAATTTCGTAGCTTCTCAAGTTAATTAAAAGACGGGTCTGCTTTATGGGATGCTAATTTAATTAATGGTCGAAGTGTGAAGTTATAAAGTAAGATTTTAATAATCCATTAATCCACTTTCTCTACGTGTAATTTTAATCCTATGAAGTACGAACCAAGTTAATTTAGAGTTGCCGCAGTTACGGAATCGCATAATCTGCTGCAAAACCTATGCATTTTTATAATTTGACCCCTCCCCTTTTCTTCAGCAACATTCAGCATTGAAGCGACCCCCCTCCCCCACCCGACCCTTCCCCAATAACGTCAGCATTTGCCAAACCCCCTGACTGATCGAAGTTTATTGAAAATGCACTGTCACATGATGGAAATTGAAAGAAAGGTTTTTTGGCCAAAATTGAGGTATTTTTACTGACCCATTAGACTGGCCCAGACCCCCTCCCCCCTCCCCCGTCAGCAACCGTCAGCATTTCCGAGCCCCCTCGGCTGCTGATATAATATGTGAACGCTCCCTTACTTCAGCCCCATGCCCCTGTATTGTATTGAGATAATTGCTACTGAGGTATACATCATGCTTCCTTGATCACCACACAATTAAAGAAGTAAGTTAAGGGTTTACCATGAAGAGCCGGCCCCTGTACATGGTATTGAACAAGCAGCACGCGCGCAATTAGGCCCCAGCCCCCTTATTTAAACGTGCTGACCTAGGAAGTCGTGGAATTGTACTACCCCCACCGCTACCAACCAATCAGAGCGTAGGACTTTAACCACGTGTGTACCAACCCACCAGTCATAGCCCAGATATTGTATCTACTTCCAATCAGCGTCAATTTAATGAGACTACCCTGCTTTGTTGTCCGGTACTTGGTGAAGAGACTGCAGGTTGTGTGGGGAGTTCATATTCCTAGGTTCACGGCTGGTATTTGGTAAAGCTCTGAAATATATGTAAAATGTAAATGAGGTGCGGAGTTATTGCAATGCCAGCACTGTATTGTACACTGTATTGTACACTGTATTGTACACTGTATTTTACACTGTATTGTACACTGTATTGTACACTGTATTGTACACTGTATTGTACACTGTATTGTACACTGTATTGTACACTGTATTGTACACTGTATTGTACACTGTATTGTACACTGTATTGTACACTGTATTGTACACTGTATTGTACACTGTGTTGTACACTGTATTGTACACTGTATTGTACACTGTATTGTACTATACCGATAAAACTTCAAGTACATTAACCACAGAAAAAGTTCCATGTACATATTATTATTCAAATAAAATGTCGTGTAATTTTACAGTTCAGCAATTCAATATACCAACCTACAATTCAATATACCAACCTACTAATATTGTGATACGTACAGATCGTAAAATGTCACATATTGTAATAAGTTGGTTACATTGAAAGGTTGATCTATTGAAGTTGTTGGTACATGAATACTGAATAGTTAATATTGACCCGTTATGATAAGAAGAAGTTATAACAACTTCAAGCACCAAATATAGATATCGGCTCTCAAAACATACCCTTGTATTGTAGTTAAAAATAAATGTCTCCAAAATAGTGAGAACGCTTTTTGTCCTCGTCCTGAAAGAGCGCCAAGGGCTATTCTTAGAATCAGAAAAAGCAATATGTTTTTGTTCGATTGTAATCGATATTCATGCACAGAATTAAAGATCTTATCTAGAGATTGCTAAATATAACACTTGAATGGATAATAACAAAAATAATTGTCAGCGTCTCGTTCTTCAGTACTTGAAAATGTTCAGCGCGAATTTTGTTGGTCACAACTTTGGATTAAATTTAAGTTTTCGATGCAGTAATAACAAGCACTATCGAAAAAAGCTTATTATCATTGACAAGGGAAACGTTCCATCGAGTTTGACTGGTGGTAAGCTTTCTACGTTGATTTTGCCACTCAGTTTGACACGTTTATATGATGATGTTACCTCCTTCAATTTGATAGCTAGATTTACTACCGGGAGTTCTAGTAATTTAAATATTTATTTTTTGGACATTTTTAAATGTTCTAACCTCATTCATCACCTAACATTTTCTTATTGTAGCTTTCAAAGTTATTAGCGGTTTGGCCGATTATGGATCAGGTTTGTTCAGAATGAGTAGATCAGGTCTTAATCTGGTATCAAACAGTAGATACAGTAAAAGTAGTACAAAGATTAAGAATTTCCATAGTTCTTTTCTTACGGAGAGAATTAGACCATATTAGAACAAACTTCCTCCGGACGTTTAGAGCTCAGAGACAGTCCTTAGTTGAATTAGAAGGATTTAACAAAGATACATGTATGGTTTCTAAAATGTTTGTAAATGATAGTTATTTTTGGAATGTTTCGAATGAAGTTTTAGGAAAAATTGAGGGAACCAATTATGTAATTAATAAAAAAAGCATAATTAATATCTTAGGTTTAATCCCCACGTTGTTAACAAACGTTTTATTATATTTAGTTATTTTATATAGTAGTGGAAAGTATAATTTAATGTAGATTTTGTCTCTGAACCTAGAATTCTATAGAAACATGTATGATGACGTGTGATGATGTTTGTGTCATTATTATTTGAATCGATTTAATAATGATTAAATTTTTTAGCACACTCGTTCTTCGGTTATGATGGATGTTTCTGTAACACAATAATATAATAAAAACTGATTGTCAAAGCAAGCAATAGTCTCCTTTCTTGCGACAACGGACATTCCAGTTGTTATATGAATTATCACGAATAAAATTGGTATTAATGTAATAACAGGTATTTATCTATTTTATTCTTAGCCGGTGTATTAGTAGCGGTGTACTCATATTGGATATTTACTGTTAAGTACATTGTGCGATAAAACGTACTGTAAAAGTAAAAGTCGCATTTAACCGACTAAATATCAGTACATCCTTTTCAGCCTGAAATTTGACCTGAAGTTATAATGCCAATTTAATGCAATTTAATGCCACAACGCTGCAAGTTAATCGTAATTTGTCCATGAATTTGATCTTAATTTTTGCGTCAGTGGATTCAACCTCAAAAGAGTCCGAATCACTGAAAATAGTTTAAAATGTTGCCTAGAAACGAATTTTATATAGCTGCAAAGTGCAGATTACAGTTTCGGAATCCACTGGGCTACTTTAAGAAAGATTTGAGCCTTGCAAAAGGAAGAAGAAAAATAAACCACCCTAGAATTGACTGAATTCTTGTTTTGCACTTATTGTACTACAAGTAATTGTGTGGTAAGTACTAAGTCTCTGGGAACATATTGTAATTTTATTCATCACCTTAAATTGTGTCCTTATAGTAAACGAACACGATCCCTGACAGTAACTCTAAAAGCTATTTATAAATCTATATATAGCTGAGCGAACAATGTTTGGCTGGGTGCCAGGCTGTACAGACTGTAATTACTGAAACAAACCCTTTCAATTTCTAAATTAAGGAGCCTTTACTAAGAGCCGGTCGAAGTCCCGAAGGTGCGATAATATGTCGATATTATGTCAGATGATTCTGAACTCTGGAGGCTGAGTTATTTAGTTGGTAGATCTGTATTATACCACCGCGGCAAAGGACGCATTTAGTTTTACATTGTCGTACAGCATCAAATACATTTTGTAATAGAGCAGCAGCAGCTGCTGTCATGTTGAATACTTTTATAATGTCGTCAAATGAAGATTGAGATTGGAACTGTTGGACTTGATTGTGTGGTATATTATACAGTGCATATTACTATAATTGAAGTGAAAATGGTTTTATTATCAGTAATCTTAGGGGTCAACTTCATTGAACATCCCGACAGTAGAATTTGACGCGGGATTGACTATCGATGTTGAGATCAATTCAGCACAACATTATTCAACTTAGAATTCTTCAAAAAGATGCAATTAAATATTTCATATTTCCCTTTTTTTATAGAGCTGAAACCAACGCGATAACTCTTAATAAAAAACCAAAAATAAGAGTTCTATAAAAGAAGAAACATGATGTCTAAATTTGTACTATAACGAGGATATTTCAGTTTGGTCGACGACAGGACAGTTATCAGGCCAGACGATGGAGACTACCAAAACCCTCCCAGAAAGTTTCGTGGTAAGGGTTCAGTTTTAAAGTTTAAAATAGTTTCAATAAGTTATTATGTAGTTTGTAAGTTATACTATAGTTACCTTTTTTAAGGGGTATCTCGGAATAATTTAATTGCATTTCTGCAAGTTTAAATTTGATTTTAAAGAGTTTATTACTTTGTCGGGAGTGAATACAGCGTCGATATTAATTCAAATGCCAGAAACCATTAAAACATAATGGTCCTATTTAAATAGCGTTCTTCATAAAGATGTTGGGATAAAGCGATTATCAGTCTCCTATATCTTGATCTCAGTATCTGTATAGACATCGCTTGAATGCTTCCATCATTATAATTGGAAAGAAACACCCTTTATCAGGGGGGGGGGGGGACATGTCACCCCCTCCTTTATCTGAGATAATATTAGTCAGGAACTGTTTTATATTTAAAGCTATAAAGCCGAAACTTTACTTAACACTACTTTATAAGCTGATGAGAAAACCCTTCAGACTGTTTGTTTAAGATCTGTGCCATGAACCGTTACACAGCACAGAAGCAGTTCAAGAAGGCAGCTAAACCCACCACCATTACTGATGCGGTGCTGTTGAAGAAGCTGCAACATGCGGCCGATCTGGAGAAGAGACAAAATGAGGAGGAGAGCATGAACATGACCGGGCAGGAGGTCACGTACGGCTCTATCATTCAGGTATTATTATAACCGGGCAGGAGGTCACGTACGGCTCTATCATTCAGGTATTATTATAACCGGGCAGGAGGTCACGTACGGCTCTATCATTCAGGTATTATTATAACTGTTATGTTCAGATAATATTCAGGTACTGTGATAGTATTAGAAGAAGCACTTAGCAATACTTTAATATGTGAGATTATATTATTTAAAACTTTAAACCACCGCAGTTTTAATTGCCAGTTCAATCGTTGTCTATTTATGTGATTTCTCGGAACTCCCTTGTCAATACTGGAAATACTGTTTTCTCCTGCTGAATGGTGTTACATTGCATTATTATTACATTGGGTCACCTTATATGATGAGATACGAAGAAAATTATTTAAATCTGGATACTGGTTGGGCGGTGAACCATATTTGTTCTGCAGTTATTTAGAGGGTTTATAATGAATAAAATGTCCAATTTGAATCGTACTACGTTCAGAAATACCAAGCATTTGAACATTAAATTATTAAATACCAAACTTTGCTCCACCACTAAACCATCAACACCATTAAGTTTAAACTTTATTCTCCTCTCTCCTCTCGCTCTCTCATCTCTCTCCCTCCCGCTCGCCTCACCTCTCTCTCTCATCGTGCTCTCTCATCTCTCTCTCTCTCTCCTCCCAATTCTCACGCTGCTCTCTCTCTCGTCTCTCTGCTCCCTCTCTCTCTCTCTCTCCGCGTCTCTCTCTCTCGCTCTCTCTCCTCACGCTCGCTCTCTCTCTCTCTCTCTCTCTCTCTCGCTCTCTCACCGCTCACTCTTCCTCTCTCCTCATCCTCCTCACCTCTCTCGCTTCTCTCTCCTCTCTCCCTCTCTTCTCTCTCTCTCTCTACTCTCATCTCATCTTCTCTCGCTCTCTCACCTCACTAGTCACTCTCGCTCTCTCGCTCTCTTTCTCTCTCCCTCTCCTCTCACTCTCTCTCTCTCTCAATCGCACTCTCCAATCACTCTCATAAAACAAAAAAAACCACACCATCAATCATCCTCCAAATCATCACTAATTGTCTCCTCTCTCTCTCCTCTCTTCACTCTCATCACAACCAAACTTACATCATTTCTCAAATCCTCTCTCTCTCTCCCTCTCTCATCTCCTTCTCACTCTCTCGTCCTGCTCTCGTAAAAAATCGTTCATAACATCTCTCTCACTCTCTCGAATCTCCTCTCTCGCATCTCATCTCTCGATTCTCATCCTCTCTCATCGATCTCTCTCTCCTCTCTTTCTCTCCTCTCTTCTCTCTCTCTCTCTCTCCATCGGGACGAGTTCTCCTTCTCTCGGTCTCTCTCCTGTCGACTCTCTTCTCTACCAGTCATACTCTTGGGATCTCTTGTCCGGGCTCTCTGCGTCTTTCGTCTGGCAAACTCAACAGCTCACGCTTCACATCTCAATCAAATCTCTCAATCCTCGTACTCAATAACTCTCAAAAATCAGCTCTCTCTCTCTCATCGCTCAGCTCGTCTCTCACTCCGCTCTCATCTCTCTCTCTCTCTCTCTCTCACTCTCTCTCATCTCTCTGCTCTTCTCTCGCTCTCTCTCTCTCGCACTCTCTCTCTCTCTCATCTCTCCTCCACACGCTCTCTCTTCTCATCTCGCTCTCGCTCTCTCGCTACTGTAGCAGCTAATGTGACATCTTCCCATAGCTCTTGACGTCAATATTTTGAGCACATATATTTGCAACACGGACTCCTCCCCCGTCAGGTTCAATTATTGCGTGAAATTAGATGGCGTTTTAGCTGATTGATAGTATGAGAGAAGCTGTGTCGCTAACTTGTGTACATAAGGGCTGGTCTCTCTGCCCTCGGCGCGGTGCAAAGACTGGCCGTGTTACCGAGTTACCGGCATATTTGTACGCGTTGGTTGGAGTGGAGGGTGAAGGCTGGTATGGAGGCTGGTATGGAGGCGTGTGTGATTTAGTTTGTGTGTGTGTGTGTGTGCGTGTTTGTGTGTTCCCCATGAGCCAACATTTGTTCATGTTGTTCTATATTATGGTGACTATTATGTCTAGACACGCAACACTATTCTTACCTCCCCCTTATTTGTACCATTCACATGATGATTCGTGTAAGGTAACCAATAACCATGTATAAATAGTAGTAAGGTAACCAATAACCAGTGTATAAATAGTAGTAAGGTAACCAGTAACCATGTATAAATAGTAGTAAGGTAACCAGTAACCATGTATAAATAGTAGTAAGGTAACCAATAACTATGTATAAATAGTAGTAAGGTAACCAATAACCATGTATAAATAGTAGTAGGGTAACCAATAACCATGTAGATAAATAGTAGTAGGTAACCAATAACTGATGTATAAATAGTAGTAAGGTAACCAATAACTATGTATAAATAGTAGTAAGGTAACCAATAACCATGTATAAATAGTAGTAAGGTAACCAATAACCATGTATAAATAGTAGTAAGGTAACCAATAACCATGTATAAATAGTAGTAAGGTAACCAATAACCATGTATAAATAGTAGTAGGTAACCGATAACCATGTATAATAGTAGTAAGGGTAACCAATAACTATGTATAAATAGTTAGTAAGGTAACCAATAACCATGTATAAATAGTAGTAGGGTAACCAATAACCTATGTAAAATAAGTAGTAAGGTAACCAAATAACCATGTACGAAATAGTAGTGTTAAGGTAACCAATAAACTATGTATAAATAGTAGTAAGGTAACCAATAACCATGTATAAATAGTAGTAAGGTAACCAATAACCATGTATAAATAGTAGTAAGGTAACCAATAACCATGTATAAATACTAAATATTAGTAATTAGTGCCAATAAGGCAAGTTGAATAAGTTTCTGACTTGCCACAATTTTCACAACCTTCTTTCAAATGTTTATGACTTTATGAACAAATTATAATTCACATACCTTGAGCTAAGGGTAAATTAGTATTGTCAGGCGATTGTATATTATATTATATTATATAATATTGTTTAATATTGTTATTAAGTGTTGCGCATTGAATAGTCATTAAACAACTAATGTTAATAAGGAATGCGTAAGTTAATGTAATATTTATGTGTAACTTAAACTATCATAATATAATAATAATAATAGCAAGTGAATGAGATTTGTAATATACGGAATTATTATTTTGTAACATTTAGACCGGTATAATCGATAACCATTAACATTAGCTAGTAAATCTAAGTAAAGGATACGATTATTTTACCCGGCTGGTTATTGTACGTAAAGAGCCGGCATCATCTCAAAAAGTTGGTAAATTTAATACTTTATCATACTGGTAGTTACATCTTATATTTTTACAAGAGTTACAGTATCTTTCTACCTCCCACGACAGCTGGATACAGTGACTGTAAGCAATGATAGAAGATATTATGTGATAAATGCATGATATATCGAGATATTATGTGATCAGACACATGATAATAATTGCCTGAATAGTGAATACTGATGATATTAAACTTTATAACTCTCAAAATATCTTGCGATACCGGCCTCGATCAAATCTAATTGACAGTGTTAAGATGTTATTATACGAGATATGTCTCCCTGTGCGAGATCAAGGCAATCTCATCGTGAACACGAGAGAAATCTTTAAGGGGGGGGGGGGGGGGGGGGGGGGGGGGGGGGGGGGGGGGGGGGGGGGGGTTCACCCTGATTTTTTACCTTCTGTCCTGTCTGATTTAAAGACTGGGGTAGAGAGATTGTTTTACCTCCAGCTGACAGTTTGTACTACGTCACGTGTACTACGTCACGTCTACCTTCTGTCCTGTCTGATTTATAGGAAAATTGATACTTAGAATATTTGATATTCTAAGTATCAATTTTTGCGACAATACCACCTCCAAACCACAATTATAACGAAGCCTATTATAACTCCCTCGATTCGCTCGCTACATCTAGAATCAGTATTATAAAACAGAAGACCTCTATTATATCACCGCACCTGATGCTCCCAAGTCATTGCTCTCGTTCCAAATCTACACAATATATAATAAGGTGTTGTAGTACTGTAGTCAGCACAGGGCTACAAGTACAACATGTATAAACCATTAGAACGGTTACATTTCTCTCTGCTCCAGCAGCTCTTAAACCGCCACACTTCTGATTGAGTCGGTGGTTCAAATTGTTAATCGTTCTAGAAAGAGGACTAGAGGCAGAGAGAGCGAGATTGGCAATGTTAATAAGCTTGAGAGGGTCTCCAGCAGCTTGTACCACGTGTTGGTCACGTGTCGTGCTCTTTAACACCTTTTCTACCTCCTGAAAAGTACTAATTATGGTGAGGGTGTCAGTTCTGCAGAATTTCTGACCAGAATTCTGGTCACGAGGTGTGATCCAGAGTGTGCTCATGTAATACTACTACTACTTTTAATAGTGACTAGTGGTGGTGTGGTCCAGAGTGTGCTCATGTAATACTACTACTACTTGTAATAGTGCCTAGTGGTAGTGTGATCCAGAGTGTGCTCATGTAATTATACTACTACTACTTGTAATAGTGCCTAGTGGTGGTGTGATCCAGAGTGTGCTCATGTAATACTACTACTACTTGTAATAGTGCCTAGTGGTGGTGTGGTCCAGAGTGTGCTCATGTAATACTACTACTACTTGTAATAGTGCCTAGTGGTGGTGTGATCCAGAGTGTGCTCATGTAATACTACTACTACTTGTAATAGTGCCTAGTGGTGGTGTGATCCAGAGTGTGCTCATGTAATACTACTACTACTTGTAATAGTGCCTAGTGGTGGTGTGATCCAGAGTGTGCTCATGTAATACTACTACTACTTGTAACAGTGCCTAGTGGGGGTGTGATCCAGGGTGTGCTCATGTAATACTACTACTACTTGTAATAGTGACTAGTGGTGGTGGTGATCCAGAGTGTGCTCATGTAATACTACTACTACTTGTAATAGTGCCTAGTGGTGGTGTGATCCAGAGTGTGCTCATGTAATACTACTACTACTTGTAATAGTGCCTAGTGGTGGTGTGATCCAG